TAAAATCTTTCTCCCGGTTTGTTTTATATTATATCTACTAATATTATTGGCTCTCGTAACCCGGTACAGCGGCAGCATCATCAGCATATATAGCACCCTGCCTACACACACACACACACACACACACACATACACATACACACGTGCGATGGTATCGCAGTCGGCTACAAACGCGTATAAATATATAATATTTTTTTAATACGCGCTGCACACTGCACGGGGGCGAGAGCGTACCTTTACAGAAAAGATTCTCCCTCGGTACATATAAATATATAACGATAATAATAATAATAATACTGTTAAAGTGTCTCGTAGGTATATGTGTATAGGAAAACTCGTTGCCCGGTTGAATTATTATAGGTTCGCGGGCAAGTAAGTAGGTAGATACTCGAGCGCTGTGAAAATGAGTTTGAGCAAACGACGACGACCATGCACTAATGACTTCATGCCTATAACCATCGCCACCGTCGCCGACACAGTCGTTATAGTATGCGGTATATACCTGGTACTTGGTGGCTACGACAATGAAAAGTTAAGACCCGTACACTTTTTCGATTGTTGTTTATTTTTTTCATTATTATTATAAGGTAACGAAACGGACAAAACTTATTATCTAAAGTTTTTTTTCTCGGTAAACGGATAATTTTTCCCTCGTTGGATGTCCTTAAATACAGAGTTACCTGCCATAATGTGACTTGTATAAATAAGCATTTCATCGCTTATTTAATTTTTGCAAAACGTGGCGTGTGTGTGTTTTTGATACATCAAAACATGATCGCGTGCACAATTACCCACAAAAATAACCCTCACAACGCATATCGATGTACGAGTGTATAATGTTATAAAGGACTTTATGAAATATGATGAAGATTTTTCGTTGACACAAAATTAATTACATTACAAAGTTAAATTATAACACGAAACCACGAAGGCAAGTTTTTTTAATGGCTTTAGTAGTTTTAGTCTCGCATTATTAATGTCACGTCGGACTAAGTATCAAAACATATAAAATTAAGTTTTGTTATTATTTAAGGAGAGATTTATCGCTTCAGATTGAAAAGATAAAAAACTCATCCGAAAATTAAATAGAAACTATTTATTTAACGTTCTATATCGGGGTCTTATTATTTATAATATCTGTATAGAGTTCTGCATTCTTTGACCTCGTGGCGTGCGTATAATATTAAAAAAATATATTTATTGTGTTTGTGTGAAATAATAGTTGCTTAATTTAAACCGACGTTTGTTTAAATTTATAACGCTGATTGTCGTACACACACGCGCTACACGAATCTTTCGATGTATAAATCCACGGAACGTAATATGTATGGGTATATGTTTGAAATAATATTTAAGCAATTTATTTTATTTCTTCATTAGCTTGGTATTATGATAAAGTCAACATGTGTCGTGTACTTGTGCCAATACTCTATTCGCTTGTACCTAACTTATACATATTGCACATATATTATTTAACCTAGTCGGATGGCGCACAATTCACAAGATAATATAAACGAATATATTATTGTCGAGACGGCGCGATATTACATATTTCGTATTATAGTGTCCTCATAATATAAATTGATCAACCTAAATATCTTTCCTCGCATCTGTTTGATAATATGATATGATGACGGAAAATATTTAACATTTCGATTAAAAAATGTCCGTGGATACGGTAAGATTGGGTGCATCGAAATAATACAGAGTTCCTACTACCGGGTATATTTCAGTCTGTGTGACCGATATTGGTGGACGTTACGCATTATAAGGAATTGACGTGTATAATAATCCGCATATTTTTTGTCACACGAAATTCGAAGCACCCTTTACGACCGCCACGGGAATATACAAACGAGTGGGAAATCATCGTCACTACATCGTATTTATATACAGAATACCTACAGACGTTATTATATATCTTATAAATAGGTACCAGGAGTGTCGTAATATAAGTATTATATTTCTAGTTTCGCTACTGCACATTATGTTACATTATAATAAGGATTAAGGACGTTGTCGACGAAATACACTTTTAATAACTTAATATTATTATACCCACCTCTTTAATAAAATTACCTGTGTATAAAATATAGACGTGATTCAGTGCGGTTGAAAAAAGTATCAGAAATGTGTACAGACAATTCTTGTCGTCCTCAAAGACATTGTGTATTGTGTATTGTTTTAACAAATACACGCCAGTTTATATATAATAATAAATATAATAATGCCACACCGATTTAATATTTATTATTTAGTAGTCGATTGTAACGAAAACACAATAATTTAATATTTTGGTGGAAGGATAAACTACAGGACGCACATATAGGCGTCGTCGTGACTTTAAACAATGATTTAATATGTTCTTAGAACTTGATCAAAAGATTAATATTTAATTTAATGATTTAGCGTTTTCGTGTACACGATATACTAAAATCGAATTTAAAAAGTACGTATAAGGTATAACAACTACACTCGAGTGTGAGAAGTCTATTACAGTGCTTATAGCTTATAGGTACGAATACCTAAATATAATGACAAGCGGGCGTGGACATCACCGGAAAATCTTTTCGTTTTCATTGACGCACTTCATTTCGTTTCGTCCATGTATGTGCACTGACTGGCAAATTGTATCACATACCTAAACCTTATTTCGCCACTTCCATAATCCCAGTTGTATATTGTTTTAATAAATACTGCGGGTTTGATATTTTCAGTAAAATAGGACACTATGGGAAAAGTTGCTGTTTTTAATTATTTTTAAAATTATGGCTGATGAAATTGAGTTCATATAACATATTGGATATCATGAAGCAATAACTGGTATAAGAATAATCGACTACCGAAATTGTTATTTTAAACATTTTCCAGGGAAGTGATATGTCACTCATGCCCCTGGCGCTTTTACCTCTTCCCAAACTATGTCCTCGGGTCCACACTATCTGAAGGAGTTCGACGTCAGCTGTGCACGCTGTCACACTATATATTATACTACATTATACTATATACATACAAAATATATACAATATAGAGAGAGATGTATTTTATCCGTTACCTACGCATATTGTTCGTGTTCGAGTAGACGCCGCACGCGACCGTTTTCTTTTTATTTCCGTTTCCTGCCCGCTGCAGTACATAATATAATACATGCATACGTATATAGTAAGACGCCAGCGAACGGATCTAGCTGCGTGATTTATGTGAATTTGCTCGGATTTCCCAGTATTTTCTTGTATATAAATCGCGATAGAGCACGAGGGGGGGGGGGGGGTGAGCATTAGACCTCTTGAATACGATTCGTTACCCACCGTCTTGCGGTCGCGTGCGTACTGTTGTCGACGAGCCTCGCAGCTGTGATAATTGCTCTGCGTCAGCGGAAATCTCCGAGACTCCTTCGTGGTTTTCGCTCCTATGTGTCTACGGTTAGTAAGCAGCACAGTCCGCCAGCCGATTACTTTGATTACGCCGTTATAATATATTGTCTAAGTACTCCTAGAAGCGGCTTGCATTAGTCGAAAAGCTTTATTTTTCTAAGAAGAACATGCACAGTGTTGCTTCACAGAATATTTTATTACGCGGAATACTACATTTAATATTACCTAGGACCTGAACAATTCCAAATTTCTCCATGGCCCAAAGTAGGATATTGAGGTAAATTTTAAGATTAACAAATATTTGTTATTGTGATATTACAGGATATTATATGACTATAAAATATAGTATGATAATGTTGGGATTGAAAAGCTTAAAGCACACGTGGTTACGAAAATCAATGATTTATTTTTTTTGTGTGTTTGAAGACAACCTTTTGTACTAGAAAAAATGTTTTAATATTGAGGGTGGTTTATACCCTCAGGTAGCAAATTAAATTTAGTTTGTACTGCAGCGGGAAGTCAAAACTAAAAATTCCTAAAACCTTTTAAAAATAATCGGGGAAAAAACTCTGCCGGAGACGAAGCAGTGTAGTATAATATGTATATATATATACATATATAGGTATTTTATATAATACAACATTACAACAATGTATACACGTTGCGATCAATTAGTGTAATGGTTATGGGTGGTTAAGTATTTACGCCAACATGGCAACATATATTACATTTATAAATTATAATATTGTTTCACGCCGAGATTTTTAAACGTCGGCGGCGAAATCGAGGAAAATGCGGCCCGAGACGGATAAACACGGTGGCACGCGTGCGACGTAAATAAAATAAGCGCGCGCGCTCGCGGTTGTCACGAGTGAAACCAATGTACGATACGAAGAGAAAAATATCTCATTTTCTTGACCGCGGGGTTCCAATTCATTACACAGTCCACACACACACACACACATAATATACGTGCGTGTGTTCTCGTTATTATTGTTGTGTTACAACAACCTTCGGACCAGTTGATATCTTGATTGCCGCGTAAATGTATTTTCTTTGTACGCTGGTACGTATATAATAAATGGGCGCGCGCGTCTTTTTAATTCTCGCACAGGCCGGGCGAAAGGGTTCGATATGTCATAGATACTCATAATAGTAATATTATGTAAACACGAAAAAACGGGCACTCAATTCGGTGCCGTATTAACCAGGGGGGGGAATATTTTAGTATAATATCTCCCCCTTATTGGCTTATTTTTTTGGTTCCGAAGTTTCATACATTGTACTGGCTAATTGGCAAGTTAGGAGCTTATAATACTGTTTGAAATAAAACTTATCAATAATCCCAATTTCTATGGAACTTATCTATGTCTTCATATTTTTTTCTAAATAAGCCTACACCGACACACATAGATGTCACCGAATTGCGTTAACCAAAGCTGCACTTCTCGAGACATCTCTTATACCACGGTGTCGTTGTACATATTATTAATTATTATACACGCGGCAGGATGATGTTTCCTGTATAAGACATATTATAACCTTCTGTAACGGTGACCACAACACACCGTACGCTATTGTTTTTTTGTTTTTCTCACACTCACGATTTCTTTTTTTGTTTTTCAGGCTCTGGGATCGAAATCGTCTGATGCTTCTGCCAACAACTGTTTTAACCGATGAAAATTATGTAACCGAGGTAAGTCGACTGCATATTTAAACATTACGATTACGATAAATATATTAGGTATGTAGGTAAGCGCACATAGGTACTCGAGAGTCGAGAAGTGTACCTTCTAGAATTAAAACGATTCAATTGGAAAATTTAACTGTTTTAACAACTTTTGTTTTATTTATGGGATAGGTATATAGCTACCTAAGCTATATTTTATACGAGACATAATATTATTACTTGAGTAGCGCGAACCATAAATGCATTAGCAATCTTTAATTATCATCAGCTAGAAATGATTTGTTGTCAAGCCATACTACGTATATACTGCGGTAAGAACTAAGAAATGTACAACATAATATTAAACTGAGCCGCGGAGAGGACGTCGCAATTAACGCATGTTTGTATACCCGGTACGTCGCTGGTTTTAAATTCTAGGAATAGACGTTAAGACAAATATAAATCCGCGCTGTGTCCATAATGGTTATTCGTGATGAATATTAAATGAGCTGTCCATTGGCGGTTTCCAATGACATTATTAGTGGTAAACGTCCTTGGATCTTGATGAAGGCTGAACAAATACAAGCGGGAGAAACGTCGGTAGCAATTTCAAACGTTCGCCCCTGCCAAAGACATCGTTCAATGTTTTAATTAGAAATTATTTTTTGACAGCCGATTTAAATTAAACAGCTGGACCTGTGCCAATATTTAGTAGGTTAAATGCGACACTAATTGGGGCGTAGTCACAATTTTTGATATATCCATATGCACGTTCCCCGAACCCCAACGTGAAGGTACAGTGCACATATTATAATATTATGTATAGTTGCGTGATATTTAATGAAGTTATACACGCGTGTGTCTGCACCAGGTGAAAAAATATAATAAACGACATTTTTTTTCCGTTACATAATAATGCGAGAGTACCTATAATATAATAATATATAAATATGTATTTTAGTATTTAATAGTGCCATGCGTATATTATTGTTATGCGCGCTGTCGCGCACGCAATACCTTTACCTACCTGTAAGATAGGGACTAAAAATTATTGCTGCAGCCGTCTAGGCACAGGTAGTCGGATTATGAATTCGGACAAATTTACCTTCTTCTGCATCAGCTACATCGACAACATCACGGTTATTTTAATAGTCTTCACTGGAGTATATTATGTGCTTACCAGTTACCAGTTACTGAAGAATCATTAATCATGTAATAATATCTTTCTTTTGAGTTTAATACTTGCAGTAGTAGTATGACACCACAATCGCTCAAAATAGGGATTAATCAAATACCTATATATCCTTATACGCGCATTGTATAAAATACTTTGGGCTATGTTGTAGTGGTACGAGGCGGGGGGATTATTTTGAGACAACAGTCTGTATGTACTGTCAATTGTCATGACTAATCTTGTTACAATATAGGTTCACTTAGGATGGTTTAATAAATTAATAGTCACCCGGCGGCCCACCCACTCACCCAAAGTGTAACTCAACTAGTATATGCTCAGGAGTCTTTTCACAATAATTGTTAACATATATTTTTGTTTTTATATTGCTATTTCTATCTATAGATTTATGTATACATGAAACAATCCAATCTGTTTTTTGTACTAAAATACTACGATACGACATGTCCTAAAATATAGGTATCTACATAGGTATAGAAAAAAGTAATTGAAAAGTTGAATATCATCATTGTGTTCTATAGCGAGGGGTGTTTATAATAATCATTATAGTATACAAATAAATAAAGAATAACAATACATTCTATCCGCGTTGATAATCGGCTGTATCCTTATAGAAGTGGCTCTCGAATAATTCACATATTGTACTTATTTTGTAGCAGTAAAACCTTGATTTTGACTTTGAGAACTCACTCATTTGATATAGGTTGCAAGGACCCGAACCGTTGGAGACATGACCCCGGTCCGAAGTTAATTCACGATTTAAAGTATAATAATTTTTGGTTTTTCAGACATTTTTATCCTCAGGTTTTAATATTTTAACGATACGCATATATTGTTAACGTTCATTATAACAAAATAAGTCTATTGTAATTCGTATACTTGGCTCCTACGTATATGATGGCCAACTATACAATGATTAGTGTCACTAAGATGATTGGCACGAAAAAAACTCCAAATAAAAAAAACCTTTACCATTATAATAACGACATTGTTATTGTATAGTCGAAGAATAGGTTAGTCTATGGAGAGTTTGTTTTCGTTATATTATATTACAAACGTCGGACAAGTGTGCATAAAGAAATTCAAGATGGGCGTATAATTTTTCCCTCATTATAATAATTAATAAAACATTGTATACATATTATTATATCATTCAAATTGTCTTGAGAATTTTTAAATTTGCATGTACATATTTAGTCCAACCTATAATTAAACATCTTCTTTGTGCCTCTTAAGCCGGTATCTCAAACTTTTAACTCAAACGCCGATAGACGTATTGACCGTCGTATAATCTAATATATTGAATTACCCATAGTTTGAATTTTTGATGCTGCTTATAAAAATTGAGCGAAATGGTTTTAAATATCTTCTAAAATTCCAATGTAAGCGATCAAGTTTCTCGTAGTGGATATCGATGTATACCTAACACATATTATTTTATATGAGACCACTTTATAAACAAAAACCTGCAGTGTGTTAGTAATAAAATTCGCCTTAGGTCCCGACGCGTATGTGTATAAGTATGGACGTACTCCTCTCGCTTACACTCTACTGCAGTACCGCGCGTATATATATATATATATATATATTAAATTTTACACAAACATACACACATAAACAGGGTGATCGATGTAACCGGCAACACTATTTTTCAAGTCAATCTGAGTATTATTGAAAATAATGTTTTACATAGTATGAACTTTTGAAATAATTATTCCATCATACCTAATATTCAAGTTTTTTGTACAAACCGAGCAATCTATGTTTTTTCTATCTCTTATGATACTCAGAGCTTTTTTTATAACAATCTTTATTTTTGGTTGAACATTAGGAAGTAAAATATACATTTCTTAAATGTTTGATGCGATAATAATAATTGAAATTATACAATAATAATACACATTCAACGTTTAGATAATAACCACACATTTCGAGGGGTAGTTTTAGTTTATTTTACTCAGTTCAACTTAACTTTTAAAACTATTTATTTAAAAGGTTTCGATGTTCATAAGTACAATGTTTTTTTTTTGGAAATGTATCCTTCAAATTAAAAATATAGGTTGTATCTATTAAATCTAATAGAAAGATTATACTGATAAAATAGTAAAAATGTATAGTATTATAAATACTTCAAAATAAAAAAAAATAGTGTAGCGAGTCCAACAGTTCAGCCCGTATACGGCTGCTGTAACGATAAACGTTTTGGCCGGGTATAATAATTCAAAAATGCGATTCCCGTGTGCGTTGTAACTTGTATTTACCATCATGCACGTCACTCGAGTGGGGATGCGACGCCACGACCGCGACGGGGTCGCACATCACTCGGGGGAATTATAGCGATCCGACGTTTTATCCCAATCGATATCAAACAACCGCGGCGGCGGAGGCAATGTTCGGGCGCATAATATACAACGTAATAATAATAATAATACCGACGAGGGTCTCGATCGAGTGTGTGTACCTATGTGTGTTATTTCTTTTGTCCGGCATTACAAAATTTCCTGCCGTTATGACCCGCAGGTAAATCGTGTGTAGATGCATACGCGGTATACACTACAAATATTATACCATACATAGTATATTATGTAGTATTTTTATTATTATTATAGGCATGGCAACAGTTCTTAGTTTATTATAACGCGTGTGTACAGTACTACAACTATAATAACGTATAGGTATAAGTATACTTGTGGCGCGCATCACACACTCTTGTAGCGCGAGGCCAACGAGCCAATGAGCTGTGTGTTCTCGTATAATTTATATACACACGAGACGGATTACTACATTATTATGATACGTACGCGATGTCGGACGCGTGCACTATGCCATGGCGTTTCTCAAAGTTGTATTTGTTTGTATCTTTCTATGTTTTTATACTTTCATCTCGTTATTCTGACGCGTATAGTAACTAGTAGATTAGTAGAATCAGCCAAGGAAGTAGTTATAGGAACATCTAAAACCGAGCAGTCTACTTGACAGATGCAGAGACACTAGACACATCGAAAAATCTTTAGGATAAGACATGCAACGTACAACATATTATATAAAAACGTAATATGAATTTATACTTTTGTTGTATAATAATAATATTATTATGTAGGTAATAGGTATACAACCCGTACGCCGCGCCACCGTGGTGCCCGAGCTGCGCACAGGGGGAGCGTTCAAGTCTCCGCGGGATAATTTAATGGTCGACAGTGTTCCATTTTGTTGTACAAATAATTATAATAACACTCGTTGTAGATAGGTACACCTATATTGTTATTTGTTATACATACTATATATACCTATTGTACATTCGTGGGGCACAATGCGTGTCGTACCTGTGTATATACACGCACACGAAGTGTTATTTATTTTTTTGACCGACGACGGGGGCGCAGACTTAACCGTCCATGTTTTGCGCCCCCCGCTCGACCGGACCTGCACGGGACACGACCGGTTAATTAAGGCATCATTCAAGCACGTGACACATATATTATAATATATTATATACATACGTACAAAACCCTCCCTCGGCCACTAATTAATCACGGGAAAGAAAAAAGAAAACCGTATTTCGAATAATCTATTGTATAATAAGGTAGTGAGTGCGGCGCGTCTTCTTCGTACCTACTACCTATACCATAATAATAATACAATATACATATTTTAAGCGAGCCGAGATATTTCCGTCCGTCCGTGTCGGTTATATCACACGCAGTAATATTATAACGAACATGTCCGGCCACTAATAACGCGACTCGACGTACACGTATACTTATATATTACATGTATATATGTACTGGCAGTCGTCGTTGTTGGGTTTTCAACACATAATATTACCATAATCTCG